GGCTTTTTCTTTTGCAAACAAAACTACCCACCCTAGTACCCGGGCATCCGCCAGACCCCAGGGATGCCAGACCCTTGACGGGGAGGGGGGGAAGGGGCGGGGGGGGCCACCGTAGACGCATGCTTGCACATTTAGGGGCCCGGGAGACCCGCCCTTTCGCCGACTGTGACGCCGCAGGATTTGGGCCTGGTGGGGGGTGCTCCGGCTGGGACGGGGCGGAAGAACGACCCCTCTCCCCAAGCCCGAACGGCGCCCGGTAGGAAAGTTTCCTTCACGCTCCCCACCCCCATTCATTGCTGCGCTCCGCGAAAGGCCCGGGGGCGGGGGCCGGGCGAGGCCCCACCCCACGCCAGGCACCTCGCACAGGGAGGGGAGGGGGCGCGCGCTCAGTCCCGCCCGCACCTCCCCGCCCTCCCCGCCGCCCCTACCAGACCGAGCCGTAGGCGCCGGAGCCCACCGGGCGCAGCCCCTGCAGCCGCTGCGGCACCTCCCACACCGTCTTGTTGAGCTCCAGCCGGTAGAAGCCTGCACGCGGGCCCGACATGTCCGAAGCGGCCGCCGCCCGGCCCGCGCCCCGCCCCGCGCCCCCGCCCCGCGCCCCCGCCCCGCGCCGGAGCCCGAGCGAGAGGACGGAGGGCGGCGGGAGGAGGCGGCGGCGGGCGGCGGCGGGCGGCGGCGCGGCGCGGGGCGGGGCCGGGGGCGTTGCGCGGGGACAGACGCGCGGCTTCCTGCCCCTGCCTGGCGGCGGCCCGGCGCCAAGCAGCCCTGCTGTCCCCTCCCCGGCTCGGGCCGCGGCCGCTGCGCCCGCGCAGGGGGAGGGACGGCCGGCGTCCAGCTCGCCGCCGGCCCGCTTCTACCTCCCGGGGCCCGCGCTTCCCCAAGTACCCGCCCGCATTCGGCGCTCGGCCGGGCGCCGCCCCAGCCAGGGCGCCACCGCCTCTCGGCAGCCTCCGCTCCCCGCGCCCTCCCCTGCCGGCGCTCGGTCTGCGCCTCCTCTCCCGCCCCCTGCTCCGGGCCCCGCACGACACCCGCCACGCAGCCCGCTCCCTCGGAAACGGAGGGGAACCCTCACGATCAAAGAAGCCAGGGCAGAGATTTTTTTCATCAGTGTAGAAAAACTGGACGCTTGGTTGGCTGGGTCGCCCTGGGGGGTGGGCAGATGCACGCGCCTGGATCCTGGGCTCGCCGGCTTCCCTGTCCCTGGAGGCCGTCCTGGCCCTGGCGGTGTGGTTCGCCACCTGGCAAACTTCCGTGGGCTGAGAGCGGCCTCCCGCCCTGGCCGGGCCTGGGGGACCAGCCCGTCAGGACCAGGGACAGCGGCGGCGCCCGGGGACCTTCGAGGCGCTGTACCCATAAAGGGCTACTCCCCAAACGGGTCCTTCTTGGTTCCTGGTACCTCTCCTCCTTCCAACCCCGCCCCCCGCAGCCGTCACCTCTCCCAGGAAGCCCGCCCTGACTTTCCTAGGTACTGAGGCGCTCCTCCGGTGCATAACCGCAGTTCCGCCTCCGCGCACGACACGTTCCCTCGTGTCCTCTCACAGCCTGGAAGGATGATGTCTCACAGGCTGCTGTCACTGACGGGGGAATGTTCTCATTCCAGCGAGACAGCCTCCCCGCATCTGTCTAGCGCATCTTTACTTCCCACTTAAAAGTGACAAGTGTTCGGAGACAGCATTGCCCCCGTGACAGATGCCCCCTGACCCTCTCTGTCGGGAGAGCACGGGGGGGGGGGGGGCTGCCGTTTCCCAGGGACGTGGGCAATCGGGCTGTGTGTTGCCCGACCTTCTACCCCTTCCAAACAAACTAAAGCCTGGGTTTTTATGTGAAATCTCCTGATTTTAAATATTGGCAGCCAGATCAAAATAAAACATGTCAACGCAATACCGGGCAAACGTAACTGCCCAGCGAACCCGGACCGTGGCGTGGGCCGCGTCCCAGTCGAGCCGGCCAGCCTTGCACGACCTCGGTCAAGTCCCGAGCCACCCCCAGCCTCAGTTTCCCTTCTGGGAGCCGGTGTCGGCCGGGCGGTGATGGGGGGAGGACGCCGGCGTCCCCTCCCACAGCCGCCCCGGTCCGCGCCTCCTTGGGAGTCCCGGCCCTGCGGTGCGTCTCCCGAGCCGGCTGAGGCGCGCCGGGGTTTTGGGCGGAGTCTGTGGAGCTTCAGCTACCGGCCGGGAAGAGGCTCGTTCAGCGGCGGACGGTGGGCGCTGGCCGCGCGGCCCGGCGCAAGGGGGGTGGCCTTGGTTTGCGCCGGCCCGGGCCAGGTTCCCATGGCGACAGGCCCCGCCCTCCCTCCCCGGCTGGGGGTGGGATTGTGCCGCCCCTAGGGGAGCCCGGCCCCCGCTCAGCGAGTCGGGCGGAGCGGAGGCCCTCCCTCAGGACTCATCCCCGGGTGCCCCCAGGCTGGCGGATCCCGGCCAAGCTGCCTTCTGGGGAGGGTCGGGGTTGTAATACTGCAGAGGGGTAACCAGGGGGTTTCCGGTGGTGGTTAGGGTGGGGAGAGGTCACAGGGCCGGACAGGTCAGGAAGTCCCCTGGAGAGGAGACGCCGGTGGAGCTGGGCCAAGCGTCCACGGTCCCGACTCTCCAGGGCTCTGCCTGACTTGAACAGAAGAGGATGGTGGTGGGCTGGAGGGTTGTGGCAGGCTGGGTGGGGCCACAGCAGGGATTTCATTTTTGTTCTCAGGCTGTTGGGGAGCCCTGCTGGACATGTTCACAGCACCATCCTGGCCACCAGGTCCAGGACTGTTGCTTGGCCTGGGTGAGAGAGGCCTGAGCCCAGAGAAGTGGGTGGCGTGGAGTGGAGAGCAGCACCGTGTGGGGGGTGGGGGGTGGCAGGTGCTTCAGGTGTGAGCCGGAGCACAAGTGGGGAAGCCAGGCGGAAGAGCTTCCTCCCCAGACATCAGCCCTGGGCCTGAGGACCCCCATCCCTGTCTCCCTCCACCCTCCCCTGGGATTCAGTTGCCCCTCAGTATCAAGATCCCACTCCTTGTCTCCATGTCCACTTTTCCCCTCCACTGGTCCAGGCCACCCTTTTTTGGCCGCTTGCTGGTCTCCTGGCTGCGCTTCTGAGGTCAGAATGACCTCCTGTCATGGGGGCCAGGTGATGGGGGGGATGTTCATGATGTTTAGCAAGCAGGGCATGGCCTTAGGCCATTTTCTGCAACTTGGGTCACTGAGGTTGTGTGTGGCTTCCACCCATCCTTGCCTCCCTGCACCCCACATTAGGAGGAACTGGGGAAGTAGAAACAGGAGGGTGGGTCATCCCTCAGTTTGTCAGCATCCTGACTATTCGAAGCTGGTCTGACCCCCACCACCGCCACCTTGCACCCCAACATGCATGCCCAATTTCTACCCTTCACCGGCCCCATCAAAGGACAGCCCCCTGGATCTCTTCACACTCCTGTCCTCCATGGGGGGTAACCCCATCTGTTGGATCTGCAGCCCCTTCCTCTCTCTCTAAGCTTCACAGAATGTAAGGGGGTCCTGACTCAGCTCTTGCCTGGCTGTCCAGTTTCCGGAGGGACAGGAGCGGCTTGTGGAGGTCCAGTCTGGAAGCCCTGTCCTCTAGGTTCCCACCTCCCTGCCCCAGGCATCCACAGCTTAGCACTTCCAGACTGTGCCCCACCTGCTTCTGAACAGCTGAATCTCAGGGAACCTAGTGTGGGTCATAACCGTGTCATTTTGGGGTTCCTGGGATGGGGGATGTCAGTTGTTTGCCTAGTACCCCTTCCTTGCGGGAGATATCCACACCTGTTCCATGTGGCTTCAGTGGGGCTGCCCCCGTGCACAGATGGCTCATGACCAAGGCCTAGCCCAACCCCAGCCACGACGATGCCCCAAGTCGAGAAGACACAGTCTGGGGTTGCCTGTGAACAGCATCCCCACTGAGGACACAGCAGCATACGCTGGGAAGTTCAGAAACCTGAAAACATGTGAGCACCTGAATCCAGCCGTATCTGAGGCTGGCCGGACCACCACCACGTCCTTGTTTTGGAGACACGAAATCCCCTTTCTGCTGGGTTGGCGTCCTCGGAGCATTAAAAGCGCTCTCAGGGCAGGCCCTGAACAGGTGTATCTACTCAGTGAGGGGCCCGACATGCTGATGCTGTGTGTGCGTGGACACGTGCATGTGCCTGAGAGCTGCGGGGTGGCCGGTCTGTGGCCCTGCATTCAGCATGGGGACTGGGTGGCCTGTCTGCTGTGGCCCTGCATGCAGCATGGGGACTGGGTGGCCTGTCTGCTGTGGCCCTGCATGCAGCATGGGGACTGGGAGCTACACCCTTTCCGCATCACCAGAATCCCAGACGACCCCCTCCCTCAGGCATCGGCAAAGGTACCCTCGCTCTCCGTTACACGGCCCTTCAGCCTTATTTATGTCCTAAGTCATCCTGGAGCTGTTCTTGGGACCAAGGAGCTGACCCTAGTGGCCCCACAGCCTAAGCAGGGGGACCCAGGGCCCTCTCAGAGTCATGCCAGTGTCTGGTGGGGTCTGCACGCAGCAGTGACTTCATGTGTGCTGGCTGGACCATGCCTGTGAAGTGCCCCCACCTTAGAAAAGGGGACACCGGTCCCTGAGAGCTCAAAGTCCAGACAGTAAGCCCAAGCCACGCCTACCCCTGGGCGGGGGGCAGGTCCAGTCACTCAGCCCAAGCAAGACAGGCGGGGAATGTTCGCCACCAGATGGCGCCAGATCCACCCACTCCCAGCCACCTCCGTCCCCGTCCCTGTCCCCGTCTGGAGCCAATCTGTTCGGGGATCACTGTCAGCCCCTCTCCACACTCCAGACCTCCTCGCCCAGCCCTCAGGCAGGGAGGGCATGGACCCCGCTGCACATTCCCTTGCCCCCACGGCAGCCCTGGCGGCCCAGAGGAACCACCTGCCCACCTGAGCTAGTGTCCAGAGGAAGATCTCAAGCAGGACAGGCCTGGCAACGGGGGCAGGCAAGCACGGACAGCCAGTCTGCGGCCGCCCCAGGAGGAACCCAGCCAACCAGCAGAGTGAAAAAGACAGCTCTATTTGATTTACAATTAACAAGATTTACAAAAGGGGGTGGGGGTGAGGGTGGTCCTGGCGGAGCTGCTCGAACCCCAGACCTGGGCAGGGCCTCCAGGACAGCCTGTCTGACAGGCGGAAACCTGGACCCCCGTCTGCTGGGGCCCCTCTGGCCACCTGGGCCTCGACGTCTGACGTCCAGCTTGACCTTGGAGGTCGGGCCCATGGTGCGGAGTCCACCCGGAGTGCCAGCGCCCCACAGGGCAGGCCAGGTGAGGTCAGGAAGGCATCGTACCGCTTTACTCCTCCCGTCCCGGCGGGGCAGACAGACACAGTCTGGGCACTAGGCCCTGGGGGCTGCAGGCACTCACACCCCACCCGAACAGGCCAAACCCAGGGATCTCAGGCAGCTGCTGGTGCTCAGGGAGGGGAGCTGAGGCCCCACGGCCCCCAGCGACCCAGCGCAGCGCCAGGGGCGTAAGGCACATTTGCGAATCGCTCGGGAGGTGTGACGGACACCTGATGCTGGTTCTGCAGGAGGGGGCTGGTGCTGGTATTGCTCAGGAGAAAGATGCCACAGACACCAGACACCGAGGAGAGGGCTCCCACGGGCACCCACACGTGGACGCCCGGGGGTTCTTCCTCTGCTGGTGAAAGGTAAGGGCCTCACCACTTGGCCTCGTGTTCCAAGGGCCGCCCAATGCCTGACACGGGGCATCACGCACCTGTGCCCAGAGACAGTGGTGGCAGAGGTCAGAGGTTAGAGGTCTGTGACTTTGTTCTCAAGTGCAGCCGCGATCTGCTGGAGGCGGAAGGCCAGCTGCATCTTCTGGGCGGCGGGATCCTCCTCCAGGGCGTTGATGATCTGAGGGTGGGCCACGTCAGACCGCAGGCCAGGGAAGGGGACCACCCGAGGGCTGCCTCCCCCAGAGCACACGCCATACCTCGTCATAGTACTTCTGCGTGTACTGGTAGAGCTGGTGCAGGGCCACAAGGGTGTTGAGGGAGTCTGTGTGTGCCTGGGGGCGTGGGGAGGGGAACGAGAGTGAGACCCAGGGCGGAGGAGCAGGCCAAGGGTCCCAGGCATGTCAGAGGGATGTGGGATGGCCACAGACATACACCCCGTCCACACAGACACACTGCTCACAAACCCCTCTCCCCAGGGCATAGCGGTCACACACACGGGACAGCCCATCTGGGGTTGGGCACCCCCCAGAGAACAGTCTCCAGCCCCACTCAGCAGGGGACTTTGGGGGAAGGGCGGGGGTGCTTCGTGTGGGTAGGGTCAGTTGGTTCATCCCCTGCATCTCCTCTTACCCGGGAAATCTCTGCCAAGTGTGTGTTCATGTCCTGATCGCTGACCTGCACCATCTGCCTGATCCCCTTGTAATAACTGCAGGAGCGTGGGGGTACGGTTAGGGAAGGGGTGGGGCAGTGGGTCCCGGAGGCTGGACCTGAAGCTGCCCAGCAGAGCCCCCTCCCAGTCACAGGCCTGAACCACCCCCAGGGGCCCACTGGGTGGGGTCAAGGGTGGGTGCCCAGGGTCTGGCTGGGGGGAGGGGAGCACTCACTCCTCTACCATCTTCTTGTAGGTGGAGATCTCCTTGGCGTAGAGCAGCTTGTTGCTGGGGGAGTCCTGTGGGGGACAGAGCCAGGCGCCCAGCCACTCAGCACACCCACACAACAGACAAAAGGTGTGTGGGGGACAGAGGCCCAACCGGGGAGCCACCCTTGCCTAGCACAGACAGGAGGGGGGCTTCCAATTCTGTGGGTTCCCACGAGTGAAGGTGGGGGGTGCCAGGCTCTGCCCCCGGCCCTCTACCTCCCACCTGCCTTTCTCCTGAACCCACACCCCAGACTGACCTCTCCTCACCTCCTCACCCCCATCACAGCCACGGCTTCCCCAGGCCACCCCCACACACCCATGGATACTACCCCACCCAGTCCCTCCACGCCTCCTGAGCAACCGCCCACACCCCCCCACCCCGCCAGAGCGGCCTGCAGGGTCCACTCACGCGGCTCAGCTTGTGCTCTGTGCGTGTACAAGCGTCCATGAAGGTCTGGGCGATGACTGACAGGGAGGCGTCCACCACCTCGTGAACGTGGACGTCGAAGATGAAATGAGGGTTCTTGAGGATGTTCACCCAGAACCGGAGTGGTAAACTGAGGCAGAGCGACAGGGAGTGAGGGGCCGCTGAGACCCTGGGACAGAGTGGGCTGCAGGACGGAGGAGCTCCCACCTGTTGGTCTTCCAGATGTGGATGGTGTCCTCATCCTTAATGTCATGCTTCTCCGCCTGCTCATCCAGGAAGTCGAAGAAGTACTTAACCGCGGGCGGCACCGCATGCCCGGGCGCCAGGACGCTCTGGAAGAAGTTGTCCACAAACTGCTGCAGCGTGCCCTGCAGGAGTGTAGGGGAAGGGCTCAGCTGAGCCCGGCGGGCATTGGCCCGGCAGCAAGCGCCCATGTGCACTGCGGCCCACCTTGACGGAGAGCAGGCGGGTCAAGTAGATCTCCGTGATGGCCTTGGTGCGTTCCTTCTCCTTCACGCTGCCCCGCTTGGACCTGCCCTCATCCACCTCATCCGTCGGCCGCACCAGGTGCCACACACGGTTCTCCTCCTCTAGGAGAGCATGGCCTGCAGGGGGGCGGGGGGGAGCTGAAGGACAAGGGCATGGCCTGCAGGGGGGCGGGGGGGGCGCTGAAGGACGAGGGCATGGCCTGCAGGGGGGGCAGTGATGGGGCGCTGAAGGACGAGGGCATGGCCTGCAGGGGGGCGGTGGGGTGCTGAAGGACGTCGGCATGGCCTGCAGGGGGGCGGTGGGGTGCTGAAGGACGAGGGCATGGCCTGCAGGGGGGGCAGCGGTGGGGCGCTGAAGGACGAGGGCATGGCCTGCAGGGGGGCGGTGGGGCACTGAAGGACGAGGGCATGGCCTGCAGGGGGGCGGGGGGGCGCTGAAGGACGACGGCATGGCCTGCAGGGGGGCGGGGGGGGGCGCTGAAGGACGAGGGCATGGCCTGCAGGGGGGCGGTGGGGCGCTGAAGGATGAGGGCATGGCCTGCAGGGCGGGCATCGGGGGGGCGCTGAAGGACGAGGGCATGGCCTGCAGGGGGGGCAGCGGGGGGGCGCTGAAGGACAAGGGCTGGAGCTCAGCAGCCCCCACCCCGCCATGGTGGCACAGGGTGGCTGGCCCCTGGTCCACGCAGACCTCCAGAGCCCACAAGGGCCGAGGCAAAGGCGGGGGGACTCACGCTCCCCAGGCAGGTCCGGCTGGCTGTCCTCTGGCTGTTGGGAGACTCCCACCGTGGACAGGATGAGAGTGGCTCCATCCCGGACCTGGCGCACGCAATCGTGAGGGTGGGCCTCGCCCCCACTCAAGGCGGGCAGCCCGGCCCTCCCCATGCCCCAGCACCAGCACTCACGTTGTAGTGCATCAGGGTGTTGATGCGTTTCCACCGGCCCTCCCGCTGAGAGGTCAGGTCCAGGTCTGACAGGATCTGGGCTGTGGATCCAGGACGCCACTCTGGAAGGACACGGCACGACACCTGGAGCCCAGCCGCACGGCACCCAGCTCCCTCCAGCTGTCCCTGCACCCCACCTGCCCAACCAGGGTCCGAGGGCAGGACCCCCCGCCAGGGGACCCAGGGGCCTTGCTCACCAAGCACCACACTGTCAGCCTTAGGCCATCGGGAGCATGGCTGTATGCGGTACACCTGGTCAATGATCTTTTCCTTGACCTGGGAGATGGTGTCACAGTTGAGCACCTTGACTGGGATGGCGTCGGTCCCTTCATCCTGGACGATCACGCTCACCGTCTGCCAGAGGACACGGGGTGAAGAGCCAGTGTGGGGGCCCTAGCTCTCACTGCCTGCCAAGGTGGGAGCAGCCTCGGGGCCCTCATGGCCACACCCTCAGGTGGAGGAGCGGGGGTGGCTCTGAGCCCTGAGAACACCTGGGGCGGCCTGGCCTGGCCCTGTCCCAAGCCCTGGCTCAACAGGACAGAGAACAGAGTAGCTCAGGGAGCGCCGACTCCTGGGCATCACGTGCCCCACGCTGTCTCCCACCTGTGCACACAAGCTCACCACCAGGCACACCTGGATGCCCAGGCCCCACACACGCCTGCAGCAGACCCAGGTGCCCAGGACACACAGAGCCTCTCTCTAGAGACCCCCTCAGGCGACTCACAACGCCTGCCTGAACCCAGCTGGGCCCATGTGAGTCCACGAACAGCACCCAGCTTCTGGGACTGAGGCTGGCCCAGAACTTGGCAACACCGAGAGGAGTCTCTCAGACCCACGCCAGCCCCTCCCTCGGCGCCGGGCTCACCAGGGGCGCATACTCCACGTCATCCCCCAGCAGCCCCGTATCATTGAGGGTGTATTTGGCCTTCTTCTGCACAGCGTCTACTGGCCCCTTCTCCACCTGATGCTTGATGGCCTTGAAAAGCTTGTACAGAGGCTCGCCGGCACTGTCCTGGAGCAACAGAGGGCACTTCAGCCGTGGTGGAACTGACCGTGCCGGACCCACCTGGCGATGCTACACAGGCATGTGGGCGTGTGGGGGAGGGCGGGGAGAGCACCACCTCACTCCTGCCCCAACCCTGGCCGGCCACCTGGAACCCACCTTGAGGTACTGATACAGGCAGATGGACATCCAGTTGGACAGCATCCTTTCTACCACCGTCTCAGACCTGCAGAGGCAAAGAGGTGTTTGCCAAGGGATCCCTCAGTGCCCTGGGGCCCAGCTGGCTCCTCCAGGCACCCACAGGACGCCTGCCCAGGCCCTGGGTCCCCATCCGAATGCATACACACAGCCTGGAGTGACCACGTGCTGGACTCATCATCTTGCACCCCATCGTACCAAGAGCTGATGCCAAGGGGACCAGCAGAGACTGCTGTGCCCTGCCGTGCCTCCTCCCCGCCTCCATCTCTTGGCAGCCCAGGTGCTGGGATCAGCCCCGTCCCACCCCCACCTCCATCCACACAGCCTGCCCACACACCTGCGCAGCATCAGCTTGGGGTTCTTGGCCACCACGTACTGCTCCATGAGCTCCAGAAAGAGCGTGCGCATGATGTCTGTGTAATACTCCAGTTTCCCATGCAGCGCCACGGTCAGCAGGGATGCGAAGTAGACCTTGGCGCGGGCGGAGAACTCACGCTGGCTCTCCAGGGTGTGGATGAACTGCGAGGGCCCCCAGCCGAAGACCATGTGAGCACCCTGGCCCAGTGTCCCTTCCGCGGCCGGAGGCTCTACTTGCCCCTCCCCAACCCGCGCACAGACCCGGCCCCACTCACAGTGACCAGGAAGGACTTGCTGTTGAGCAGGTTGGAGAACTGGTACAGAGCCTGCTCCACCACAGGCCGCCGCGACTCCGGGATGTCCAGCCTGCCCGTGATCATCACATCCTTGTCGCCGTCCTTGGAGGGCAGGAAGAAGACGCGGTCGGTGTAGGTCTTGTAGTCCAGCACGGGGATGCCTGCCTCGTGCACATCGTTGGTCTGGTCCTCCATCTCGATCATCAGGTCTGGGGGGAGGTCAGGGTGAGGCGTCCCAGCCGCCAACCGCCGGCCACCCCGCCCACCTCTGCCTCTCCGGATGCAGCCTCTTTCAAGGTCGTCCTCCCCTGCGTTCCAGTCCCCAAGACGTGCCCTTGGGGACCCCGGGGTCTGGGCAGCCCGAAGATCCTGCCTGCCCCTGCCAGGCGACCCTACCTGTAAACTCCTTCTTGCAACGGTCACGCACGCTCTCCTCCAAGCCCTCCAGCTGGGACTTGATCTTCTCGTACTCACGCTCTGCCTGTTGGCTCTTCCTCCTGCCGGCACAGGGAGGTTGACGGGGCCTGGCCGGGGGCAGGCCACCCGATGGCTCCGAGCCTCGGTGTCGTGCTGGCTGCGTGGCCAGAGGGCCGGGCAGGAGGGGGAGGGGCTCACCAGTAACAGTAGACAGACACAGCAATGACCACCACCATGGGCACGATGACCAGCGGCAGGATGAGGCTGAGGGGCACGTCGCTCACCCTCGTGTCATACTCCACGCGGCCCAGAACCCACTCTCGGGAGCCAAACTTCACCTGCAGGGAGGGGCGGGCTCAGCAAGGACCGTGTGGCTGGGCCCCTCCGTGCCCCCACCCCAGCCCAAGCTGCGCCCGCGTGACCACACGCACAATGAACTCCGGCAGGTTGTGTGTGGTGTCCCGCTTCTGCCGCCGCTTGGGGGGCGGCTGCACCTCCGGAGGCTCACAGTACAGGTCCGTCTCGGTCAGTGTCTTCATGACGCAGCGCTCAGCTCCCACAAATGCCTCGGCCTCGTGAAGCGTCATTGCCTTGTTCAGATTAGTGCCCTGCGGGTCCCCGTGACCAGGAGGGAGTCAGGGACCAGAGCTCGGGCTGCCTCCCCTGCGGACCCCCCAGGCTGTGGCCAGTCCTCACCCGGGCATGGATGAGCTTGTTGACCTGCTTCTTGACACCCCCCGTGAAGTTCTCAAAGGTGGGGTCGGCCACGTACTCGAAGGCACCGGCCTCGGTCCTGAGCAGGGCCCGGTGCCCGTCCATCTGGATGAGTGCAGTGAGATTGTAGGCCTCGGGCTCCTCGGGGACCGCGGGGGACGAGAACACGACCTTGGAGTCGTTGTGGAATATGTACTCCTTGCCCACGACCTGCAGGCCGAGGCCAGGCCGTCAGGCCGCGTGGCCCAGGCCCCATCCCTACCCTGCACTTGCTGAACGGGCCACGTTGGAGCGGAGTCCCCCGCCAACACCAAGACTGACCGTCACGGGCTGCAGGGGTCCGGCCTCCCGCCGCCGCCGCCAGGACTGCAGGGGCTCGGCTATGACCACCATGGCGAACCTCTGGATCAGGCTGAAGCCCTGCCCCGTGACGTTGATGCTACGGCCACCACTGGGGACGGGGGCGGGGAGGCCGTGCCTGAGTGGGCATGACTCGGCAAGCAGCTCCCCGACCCAGATGCTGGCCACACGGTGGGCTGGGGGAGGGCAGGGTCTGGAGTCCCCAAGCCCACTCTGCTCTTGGGTATCCATGCGGCTGAGACAGGGTTGGGGGTCAAGCTCTGAGCACAGGACTGTGACCACTGCCAGCGCTTGTCAGAAGTGGGGGGAGCGCTGCCCATCTGGGTTTCCGGAAGGAAGCAGATCTGGGGGTGCAGTGGGCTTCTCTGGAGGCCCAGCCCTACCACATCCTCATAAGCCCGGCAGGCAGAGAGTGCCTGGGAAGTAGCGGAAGGGGGTGGGGGTGGTGGGGGGTCCTGTAGCACCACTGCCCCCAGGGAGGAGACGGAGGCCACACCTGACGAAGCTTCGCAGCGGTTCGAAGGCCCGCAGCACGGGATTCTCGCGGTAGGTGAAGATGACACCAGGGTTGGGCACCCGGGAGCCCCCGTAGTAAATCTCCAGGGGCAGCTCCCCCAGAACGGACTGCGGGCCAGTGACACACTGGAGCTGTGCCCCGAACTGCGTCCTGGGGGGGGGGTTGCAAGTCAGCGTCAAGCCCAGCCCCAGGCCAGGGGGTCAGTGGGTCAGGCTGGCTCTATGGCCCGCTCCAGGGCAGACTCAGGGTCAGACCAGAGAGCCCCAGCCCGCAGGTGACACCCACACTTTACACGGGACGTCATTGAGGGTCACCCGCACGTCTTCCTCAGAGCCTGTGTCCAGGTGGGTACCACTGATGGTCAGCGTGGTGCCGCCTGCCTGTGGCCCCTGCTTTGGCTCCACATTGAGGGGCTGGGGCTGCTGGAGGAGCAACAGATTCACTCGGATCAGGGCTGGGGCGCTGGAGCCTCGACCCCACCCCACCCCACATCAACACGTGACCCTCAATGGTCGAGAGGCCAGGCCCTTACCTGGTAGGTGAACTGGACGTGGGGTGGTGAGTGACCCAGCTTCCCACTGACGTCCACCACGATGCCCCCTGTGATGGGCCCCGCGGCGGCCTCTACGGCGCACACGATCCTGGGTGATTCACAGACAAGGTGGGACACTCAGCGGTGGGTGTGCGAGCCCTGGGCACCCACGCACGCCTGCATCCCGTCCTCCTTCTTCGCCCACCCGGATCACCTGGCCCCCCCCAGCCCAGCCAGTGGAGCCCAGGCTTCAGGCCGCCCACTCACCGGGTGGACACGGAATAGCGCTCCGGCTCAAAGACGCAGTTCTGGCCCGCCACGGTCACCCTCTGGACGTCCTCTGCTCTGACCCCCAAATTGGACCCAAGGATGGTGATTCGGATGCCCCCGCCCAGTGGGCCCGTCTCAGGGTGGATCTGGAATTGGCAGAGCCCAGCTGACCCAGCGGCTGGGGCAGGCGGGGCTGTGCGGGGGAGGCGGGCAGGCCGGGGACCCTCCCCGCCAGGCAGGCACAAGGTCTCACCCTGGTGATGACGGGTGCTGGGCACTCGGAGGTGCTGTTGAGGCAGAGAGCCTCGTACACACACCTGCCCTGCCCCGCACACCACACACACTTGTACTCGGGGCTGGCCGCCAGGCACAGACTGCAGTCACCACGGCCAAAGGAGCAGTTGTAGAGGGTGACTGCGGAGGAAGCAGCCAGTGGTCAGCGGGCCACCCTGCTTCCTGCTCCCCACCCAGCCCCAGCTGCCCACCCCACCCACCTTGGAGCTTGCTGTCGACATTCTGGCCGTAGGACTTGACATACAGGTGCAAAGGCAGCGTCTCGTTGGCATCATGGGACAGCTGGGGGACACGCAGGGACACACTGTCCTTCCTGCTCCCACCCCTAGTTTGGCCCACGGAGTCCCCCACAGCCGAGGGGCAGCAGGGGGAGGCCTCCAGGTGGCAGGAAGCTGGAGCCTCAGACATACAAAGGATCACTTTGATTCCAGGCAGGTGGCAGGACACACAGACATTCCAAGGCCCCCCCTCTGCATCCCCTACCCCGCCCCCAAGGCCTTCCTCGGGACCCAGCAGCCTGGCCCGCCTGCCCTGGGAGCCACACCTTTGGGGTCCGAAAGAAGAAGGTTCCCGGTTCCTGCGTGCTCACTGGCTCCTCAAACTTGAGTAGGTCGCTGCCCACGTGCAAAGAGGAGCCCTACAAGGCAGTGAGGTCAGGACGGCCCAGCCAGGCCTCCCACCCTGCCCTCCCCGAACCCTCTCTGTGCCCCACCCCCATCAGTCGGGCACTCCCATCCCAACTGAGCACCCGGCCCTCCCAGACAGACCCGTCTCAGTCAACCCCGAAGCACGGCCCTGCTCCCGCCTCACCAAGTAGCGTCCCAGCTGCCCAGCACTCAACACCCCAAACCCACTCGTCTGTTGCTCTCTGCCTATGTTCTCCAGGCCCATTCGAATGCCTCTCTGCTGCCTTCTGTCCCCAAATACACGTGGAGCACCTCCCTCGTGTGCTGAGTCCCGAGCCAGGGGAAGCTCGAATGCGCACCAGGCACCTGGACTTTGGTGTTGCAGGAAAATGGCTCTGAACGAGCCGCTCGGACACTGCACTAGCCCCATGGCCCCTGTTGGGCCCCCAGGCATTTCCTCATTGGGCAGGCCCTGCCCCCAGGGCAGCACCCCACAAGCTCCTGCCACCTTCACTGTGTCCAGGTTCTTCCCCTGGAAGGTTACATCCGTCTCGTGGTTCATGGGGATGACCAGTGGGCTGGGGTTCAGGAACTGGGGGCAGTTGTCCTCCTGGAGAGAAGAAGGCTGGTGAAGGGCTGCCTGGCCATGGCCAAGCAGCCCAGCTCCTGCAGGGTGCTCACAGCCCCTCACCATGTGGGCGCGGACAATGCCATCCTCAGGGTTGGGGGAGGCCTCCCGACACTCATGGTAGCGCAGGTCCCACTGGCAGGTCCAGCGGTTGCTCGCGCAGGAGATGCACCTGGGGGAGAGGGTGGTGAGGAGTGCGGGGCCCACAGTGGGGACTGGGCAATGGGAACACTGGGTCAGCCAGACACTCACGGCAGGTTCTCCGCCAGGCTCATGGCCTCCCGGCAGTCGTAGAAGGGGTACAGATGGGAAGTGAGGAAGATGCTGCCACGTCTGAAGAGGAGCTGGATGTTCACAGCCACGTGGTCTGTAAACAGGAGATCGGGACGGCATCAGGCAGGGGCCTCAGCACACAGGGCTGGCATGGTGGGGGCAGGCGGGCACTGGGCCTCTGCAGCCAAATCCTCACCCCACCGCAGCTCCCACGGGCCCAGGGTGGAATCCCTGGTCTGTGACTGGCACTGGGCTCAGCTGGGCCCACCAGCGCTATCAGATCTCGGCTCCAGCGCCGGCTCCCAGCTCTGGGCTCCTGGACCCTCTCTCTGTCCCTACAGGCACTGAGGGTCGTGGTTCCTCAGCACCTGGAGCAGAGCACGGCCGGGCCCCTGCTGCACCAGCAAGCTGTCCTCCGCTGGCCACACTCAGAGCCCCACCCATCTCAAGCTGGACGGGGCTGGGGAGGCGTGAGGGGCTTCAGCATGGACAGCAATGCCCAAAGCCGGGCAGCCCCCTGGTGTCAAGAGTACACGGCCCCCACACCCACGGCTCAGGGATTCCAGAACCAGAACCGCTTGTGGGCCTCCATCTCGATCCAGCCAGGCAGGTGCTCTCTCCACCTCAGCCTGCACCCCTGGGACCGTAGGTGCCCACCCAGCAGCTGCATGGGGGCCTCACCCTGGCCGGGTGGCGTGTTAGGAATGGTACGTGGGGAGTTGCAGATGACGGCATCCCCCTCCACGCGGGCAGGGTGTGCTGGTGAGTCACCAAAGTGGCACAGCAGTTGGTCTTCGTCGCTCAGGGCTGGGAGGGGACTGACGGTCAGCTGCACCTGGGGAAGGGCGTGCGGCTCACACCAGGACCTCTGCCCCGGGCATCTGCCCACAGTCCTGCTCTCTGGCACTCCTGTGTGCGCGCATAAGCTGGCCCCTTGGAAAAGGCCCCATCGCACTAAGAACAGGCCCCTGGGGGGCACACCAGCAACTCCTAGAATGGGGCCCCCCCAGGTCACAAGGGCCAGGGGAACCCAACAAAGGAAAGGCTCCCTGTCCTCAGGCTCAGTGCCCAGAGCCCAGGCCAGAGAGAGAGAGAATACGCCATGGTACTCCTGGACGACCCAACAGCCCCAGGCCAGCAGGAGCCCCACCTCTGCCCGACCCCCGACCCCTGCCCACCCCCACCACGCACCTCCCCCTGGGCCCGTCGGCTCATGTTCTGTGGCTGGGCCCCGGTGATGGCTACACAGGACTCGTCACGGCTCCACAGCCAGTGGCCGCTCTCCTCAGCCCGTGAGCACTCGGCCCTCCTGGTGCATCTACAGGGGCAGAGGGTGGCCTCAGTCCTGGCACTAGTCAACCAAACCCCCAGACCCCCCAGGGCAGGGCTGAGACCCCTGGAGTACCAGGCACTCACCGTCCCTCAACGACGCACCAGCCGCAGTAGGGGTCCTGGGAGCTGCGGCACTGTTCGCAGGTTGGATAGCTCAGACAGTCCTGCACGGGGAACCGGAAAACCTGAGGGCAACAGGACAGTGAGTGGGACGATGGCAGCCACGAGGACCTGCCTGTCCGGCCCCGGTATTCCTGGGGTCATGGGCTTGATCCCACCTTTCTCTCTGAGCCTTAAAAGCCTGACACCCATGCAAGGCCTGCTGGTGAGGGTCCAGCAGCAGTTGCCCTCCAGGCTTGGAATGGGCCTACCCTGTGGCTATGGTTGGCCTGGGATAATGTGGGGTCCCAGAAATCATGGGGGTCCCGGCTGTGGTGCCTCCCCGCGCCAGCTCAGGCCCTTTAACCCCACTCTCCGGAAGAGGCACCTGGCCGACCTGGATACTCCCAAGACCACCTTGAAGGGCTCTTATACCAGCCCCCCAATAAACTGGGGGGCCCCTGTCAGAATGGAACTGGGGCAGGGCCACAGACAAAACCAAGTTTCAGACGCAAAGAAGGCACTAGAGAGAGACAGGGTCAAGATGCCGCTGGGAAGTCTTCCCATCCTCCCCCACCCCCTTCTAGGCCTCTCACAGTGGCCTGGACCACCAAGGCCCCTTCTCCAGGGGATCCACAGGCCCACCTTGTCCTGGGTCATGGCGTAAAGACTGGCCAGATCCGGGGACAGCACCAGGTCCCGCTTGATTCTCTTGTTGATCTCCACGAGGATGGAGCCATACTCCGCGGAGCTGCCGTCCGGGGCAAGGTAGACCTGCAGGTGTGAGGGCAGGTGCGTGAGACGGGGGTCTTGCGCAGATGGCCCCCCGGGAGCCTCCCTGCCCCAGCCCCAGGCCTCACCTTGAGGACCTGGCCATCGGAGGTGCCCAGGAAGGCAACCGTGTGGCCATTCTCCGCGGTCACCGCCACGGCTGTCAGGTTCAGGCCGCCACGCCACAGCACGGCCGTGGCTGTCAGTCCGTCTCTGCTGCCCAGCGGGTAAGGCAGGTGCTCAGAGCCACACGGGAAGCTCTCACTGGCGCCCTGCGGACCATGGTGTCGTCAGCCCTGGGTACACATCCCCTTGCTCCGGATGCCCTCCCCACGAGGGATCCCGGCACCTGTGGGCCCCACACACGTCCCCAGGACCAAGGGTCCGTGGAATCAGGGACCCCCCCAAGCAGGCACCGCATGGCCGATGCCCAGCACGGGCCTGGCACTGATCAGACCCCTGGAAGCAGTGCCCGCGGGGCGGACCCGACACAGTGACCCCTCACACACACCGCCCCCGGGCCCCACAAGCTGGGGGTCAGGGACACGCAGGCGCAGCAGCAACACGCAGACCCACACAGACGCAGGCCGGGCCGGCCGTGGGAGCAGGTGCGCAGGCCACATACCAGCCCGTGGCCGCCACACTGGATCTCGCCGTGGAAGGGCTTGTAGAAGGTGTCGCGGCCCGCCTCCCGGGTGCTAGTGTAGCAGGCACTGCGGCTGGCCTCCATCTTGGCATGGACCTCGTCCAGCGGGAACAGGCAGAGGCCCGCACGGGGCCCCCCACCGCCCCGGCCATCCCTGCTGAAGACGGCGTACAGCACCCTGCTGGTACTGAGCACAGCCAGAGAGGCCGCCAAGCAGGTGCCAAAGGCAGGGGCCTGGGGGTCACTGGGGTCAAGGCACTCCAGGTCCATCTCCAGGTAGGAGTAATAGAAGGGGTCTTGCTTGCACATGCGAGCCAGGAGCGTGCGGTTACGGGGCGGGTGCTTGTCCTGCTGGTTGAAGACGAAGAAAACGTAGAGGCCATCCTCAAAGGCAGCCACGAACTGCTGCGTGTTGGTGGACAGGTATCCGGCCTTGTAGGTGGCGTGGTCCGTGTAGGCCTCGAAGGCCTCCCTGCCCTCGGCCCGGTCCAGCAGGCGGGTACTCACGATGATGCCGTTGTCGTGGGGCCCATTGCCTTTGCCCACGAACAGAACCCTTTCACCACCAGGGCTCGTGGCGCTCACCAGCCCCACCGTGGTCACACTCTCATCATTGCTGGCCACAAAGGACTTCTCGCCGCTACCGTCCTCATAGAAGAGGCGGGTGGAGATGTTGCTCAGAGCACGCAGGGCACAGATGCCCTTGAAGAGGCTGCCGCACTCGACGAGGCGCTTCCCGGGCGGGTCGAGCAGCAGGAGCTGGTTGGTGTTGTCGGTGAGCACAGCCTCGTGGCACTGGCTCTGTTCAATGGGCGGCGTGCACTTCTTATTGTCCCGGGCCGGGCCCGTGACCGCCTGCTGCCCCAGCTGCAGGTCAGGAGTCAGCTGGTAGAGCACATTCACGGCCCCCACGTACACCACGCCCGATGCCTCGTCCACAACCAGGTGGTTCAGCTCGGTGTCGCTGCGGAAGATGTCCAGCTTTCGGGGCCGCAGGCCTGCACCTGCGCCCGCCAGGCCCAGGAGGGTCAGGGCCCAGAGTGGCAGAGCCATCGCCCCCGGCACCCTGTGGGAAGAAAGAAGGGTCAGGGGAGTCCCCGCTTGGAGGAGCCCCCCATGCAGAGGAAGCACCCCCTCCAGGGCCTCTCCAGACCCTGCCCAAAAAACGAGAACACAGGCCAGCGAGGGTCAGGGCCGTGCAGGATACACCTGGAATGCCCGCCCCCCTGTCGTCCTCCTCTCCAAGGAGACTGACTCCCAGCCCTTCTCAAGAAGCTCAACCTATAACCCAACCTACTGACCAGGGTCAAAGCACCTGCAGGCCCACCTCCAAGGCAGTGGAGCGCCTCCTCTACACAGTCTCCCAGGTACTCACGCAGGTGTCCTCCCCACACCTTGTGACCACAGGGCTCCATAAGCCCCAGAGCACAAGCCCCGGCTGACAGGGGACAGGCCCTGGACATGCAAACCGCACACCTGTTGCTCATCTGACTCTCTGCACATGGTGCATTCTCCCAAGAGACACAGAGAAAACCAGTGGAAAGGAGGAACCAACGGTGTGGATTAGGGAAGGTGCACACACTTTTTTTTTTTTTAAAGTAATCTCTACATCCAACATGGGGCTTAACTCAACCCCGAGATCAAGAGTTGCACACTCTTCTGCCACGTGCCCCCAGCACACATTTATTTATATTTGCCCACCAGAGCCACTCGGACCTCAGCTCAGCCCTGCCTCCCCACCTACCTCCCCCTGGTGAACCAGCAGAGGAACCCACAACAGTCCGTCCACCCTGCCTATGCGCTCCCCACGGCGGACACTCAGGTGTAGGCACACAGGAAGCAGGACCCTGGGAGGAATTTCCAGAATCCACCAGCTCTCCGAGAGGGGGAGAGCCTGGAGTCTACAGTGAGTGTGCTGCCTGCAGGGCTGGGGCAGGCTGAGCCGCTGTGCAGGTGTCTGTCTGGGCACGTTCCTGCACATACGCAGGCCCACGCATGTGTCCATGTGTACAAGGGATGAGCTGCTAAAGCCAGGGTGAGACAAAGTGTCCCCAGATGAGAGGACCAGAGCGTATGTGGTTCTCCCTCCCCAACTCAGGGACACAGGGATCTCGGGAAACTCAGGCAGGGCCATTCTGCCTCTAGGCCTCTTCCATCTTGGGGCTGTCCCAAACCTCCCACCTTGGGTGACCTGCTCTGTCTTGGTCAGAACCCCCTGTACAATCCTCTGCTGGCACCCCAAAGTGCCCTCTCCAGATGCGTGCATGAGCGCTCACCCTTGCATCCACTGTAATCTGCCTGCGTCTGGCATGACATTTAGGGCAGACCTGCATTACCCTATGCCTGAGTGGGGCCAGACCGGATGGCAGAAGGGAATGAAGGGCCCAGGCCCTGGCCTCCCAGACTTCCTAGTGCAGCCCACACTGCCCTTGGAGAGGAGCTGGTTCATCCACCTCCCTGGATAGGCTCTTATTCCCCCGAGAAACAATCTCTTTTCTACTACCCCGTCCACATCCTGACTTGCCCCGTGTCCTGTCCATCTCTTCCAGGAAGGCAGAAAAGCATCTGAGGAGACATTTCTTTGGAGCACTGGCTTTGGGCAAAGCTGTGTTTACTGGAACGAATTGGCTTTTTCTCATGGAACCTGTGATTCTTCCATCAAGCCGGCTTCCTTCTTTTTTTTTTTTTTTTAAGATTTTATTTATTTGCGAGAGAGAATGAGAGAGCACATGAGAGGGAGGAGGGTCAGAGGGAGAAGCAGACGCCCCGCCGAGCAGGGAGCCCGATGCGGGACTCGATCCCGGGACTCCAGGATCATGACCTGAGCCGAAGGCAGTCGCTTAACCGACTGAGCCACCCAGGCGCCCAAGCCGGCTTCCTTCTTTGCTCGGGCCCCAGGCTGTGGCTGTTCGCCATCCCCCCGCATCCCTCTGTTCCGAGTATCCACAACCTTCCTCAAACCTCTCGAGGAAGTATAACCAAGAAGCAACCAACTGACAAAGCCCTCTCTACCTCAGAATCACTGCAGGGCCCCTGCTGCCCCTGCAGGGAACCCCCACCTTGTACTGGAGTGCAGAGTTCTTGCCTGGCCCCTGGTGACCTCACATGCCCTCCTCGCCAACCACTGGAAAAGGGGCTACCCACAGGTTACCTGGAGCATGTCCAGAAGGGGAGACAGCAGGGACCTGGTAAGGAGACCCTGGCTGCCTGGGGCAGAAGGCTGGGCAGTACCAGGGTGAAGTGAAGGTGGCCCAAGGCAGGGTGGTAGGAGGAGAGCCAGGGTGACCCCTGATAGGGGAGATGGTCACGGCTTTAGTCAGAGATAGAAAGATTTCACAAGCCCTTCAGGGCATCCCACTGAACGGTAGGGGTTCCTACCTCTGCAGACCCCTCTCTGGGGGAGAGGCGAGCACAGTCTGGGAGATCCCCAGCGCGGAGCCGGGCTGTCCCTGACTCTGAGACTGCGCAGAACCAGGCGCACCAGGCCCTGGCCACCCTGGCCGCTTGGGTGCCCGCGGGTACAGTCCCTCCCCCCCCCACCCCCCGCCGTCCCTCCCGGGGAAGGAAAGCACCCAAAGACCCACCCCCTCGCCCTCCCCCCGCCCTTAGCGCAGTGTCAGGGCCCAAAGTCCACTCTGCGTCGCCGCCTAGGGCAAAGGGGGTGGGGACGTGGGCCTCCCGGCCCCTCGGCCTCCTGCCCAGGCTGGCCCTCCCCCACCCGGCCACGCTCACCCGGGTCCCCGCGTCACCGCCCCCTGTCGGCTCCCACCGGCCTGCTGGAGCTCGGAATGAATGGAATGTTCCCGGGGCCCAGGGAGGGAGTGCAGGCGGGCGGGGACGGGGCGCGGGGGCGGGGCCAGAGTCCAGGCCACCCCGGGAGCAGTTAGCAGTGGTCGGCAGTGGCCTGGGCAGCGGTCGGTGGTCGGGTGGATCGCCCCACGTGGACCCAAGGAGCCCAGGGCTCCTCTGCTGGTCTGTAAGCGGGGCCAGGACCCAAAGACATAGCTGACCAAGTGGGGGAACTCTTGGGGCACTCCTGTTCTGAAAAAGCTTGTCCTGGACCCTCCCTCAGCCTCGTCCTCTGCCCCAGGGCCCCCCAGGTCTTACACCGTAACTGCTCAAACTTCTGGGTATGTCATCAGGGAGAGCTGGACCAGATCCTGCCACAGGCGTTAAAGCTGATCCAGATACCGTGCTGTTCACCACCCACACTCCTGCCCCAGGACCCCTCTGGGTGGTGGGCAGAGTGAGGCTTAAAGCCCAGTGTCCAAACTCACCCCCCACCCAGGCTGAGCCCAAGTCATCCAGGGTGGCAGGAGAGACTTGGGTCATACTCCAGAGGCAGCAGCTCCCCCCACCCCACTTCCTGGATAAACAAAGCCTCAGGTGACCTGCCTGGGCAGGTCCCGGAGCAAAGGGTGACCCACCTGACCGGGGAGCTCAAGCCACCGTGCGGGAGGCGCCAGGCACAGCCAGCAAAGCTTCCTGCCGCTGGCGTTCCTGGCGTTCCTGGAACGGGCGCTTCCTGTTTTGAAGGCAGCCCCAGGACCCCTGGCTCACCGGGGCTGGCGGGGATTTCCTTAAGGGCATCAGACGGCCTTCTTCCTGGCTGAAGTCCGGAGGTGCACTTCCAAAAAGCTGCACAAACTCCGGCCTGTTGCTGGCCCAGAAAATGTCTGGACAGGCACTCCTCCCCCAAGCCCAAATTCCCAGTCCTCGTTCCAGAATCCAGCTCTCCTGCCAGGCTCACTGTAGAGCCCACCCTCCCAAGGAAAGCTTGGTCTCAGAGAACTGGGGGCAGGGGGTGGGGGCACTGGCTGGGAGTGGCCCCCATGGGCAGGACATATTTTTTTTTTAGATTTATTTATTTGAGAGAGCAAGAGAGCACACACACACTTGGGGGGTGGGCAGAGGGAGAGGGAGAATCTCAAGCTGACTCTGCACTAAGCACAGAGCCTGACATAGGGCTCAATCTCACGACCCTGAGATCATGACCTGAGCCGAAATCAAGTCGGAGGCTTCATCAACTGAGCCACCCAGGCGTCCCAGGGCACTTGGGTCTGTGCACACTGGGCCCAGCCAGACCAGAGCCTCAAGGTCACCACCCACAGCCAGTGGAAGGCTCTAGCCTCACTGTGTGGCCGTAGCCCCCCACTGCCTTCCCCAGGTGGGGCCCGGCCTCCACTCACCGAGGCTCCAGTCGTCCAGCTCAGTCTCTGCTCTGGGCCCGCATCAAGATTCTCTAGGAAGCAAAGGAGCAACAGTGGTCTGACCACAAGCCTGGCCTGCCTCCCCCATCTCCTCTGCTCCATATGGGGGGGGGGGGGCAGCAACTCAAGAGATCTCATCTGGCCTTTGCCACCTGGAGCAGGAAACCCCCAACCTCCTCTGCCTCCTCCACCCTGCTCCCAACACAGCCCTTCCCTCAGACACCAGCCTCCAGGTCCCTTGGCCCAGCACCGCAAGCACACACACCCACTTGGTCTGTCCAGAATACAAGCCTGACACATCCCTCTCTCTGCTCAAAAAGGCCCGGGGAAAAACAGGGCGAGGAACAGCTCCCTTTCATTATTAAGTCTGTTGGTACCAGCTACCTTTTTAAAAGTAGCTACATATATTTGATTAAAGTATAAATTGCTTTCTGAAAAATAAGCATACCCCGGACCCCCAAATTCTACTTACTAGCTGTGTGACCTTGGGCAAGTTACTTCTCTTTGCCTCACTTCCCCATCTGTAAAATGGAGATAGTCCTAGTGAACTCCCCCCAGGAGTCTGTAAGGACTACATGATTCATTCAGGAAAGCCTCCAGAGAGCCTGTTACACTGTAGCACTCAGTAAAGCTTGCTCTTGTACCCTATCATCTTCCATAAATATCCATGTACATCCACGGGGGAGACCTGTCCAAGGATACTTCTTGGCATGGTTTATCATGATGAAAATGTAGCAACTACCCAGCATCCAACCAGAGCTCCCCCCCCCCTCCAAAAAAACCCAACCAGGCCCACACGGGGGAGGTCTGTGCTGAGTTCCACGGAGCCTAGACATGTCAGGGGCTGCCATGGTACAGGAGCCCATGTGTCTCCATGGGCGTGTATGTGGACATCAATTTAATTGCTGAGAAGTTCTAGAAGCTTTCTTTCAAACTGAAAATGGTAGTAAAGCCTGGGGGCAGGGAAGAGGGGACTGGGATAGCAAAATAACTTCATTTACCAATTTTTGAAAAAATGTTACAGAGATATATTCACATATTGTCTAAATAAAAAGGGGTATATACCTAATGATAATGATTGCCTCCCCCTAGCCCACCCCCTCCAGCTCCACTCTGCTTTAGGATATGGCTTTCTGGACCCAATCATCTTTCCTGGCCAATGCCAGCCCCTCCCACATCCAAGGTTCAGCCACTCCTGCTCCCCCCTTTGGCTCCCAGACCGGTTGCCCCCCACCCTCACCACTGTGCCTCCAACACCTCCTCCACAAGGCCCAGGCCCTTGCCCACCCCCATCCCACAGAGTCCTGTGCGGCACACTCTAACATACATTCCTGGAGAGCAAACCCGGGCAGGACCTATGGCAGATCCAAGGAGACCAGCTGGGGCAAGGAGGGCAGGGCAGTGAATGCAGCCTGTGTGAAAGGGGCAAAGGGCCACTCCACAGGCAAATTCAGGGGGCAAACCACTGGGCGTCAGTATGATGCAGTCTCTTGAGAAAGCAGGGGCTGGCCTGGCCTGGAGGCTGTGGCCGTCACAGGTGGAAACTGCGCTGGGGTCCACAGCACATGGACTGAACAGTTCATGCAGACCTCCCACCTGAAGGGACAGCATGCCGGCCTCTGTGTGCCTCTCTGCCTGATGCCTCAACCTCCTCCATCTAGCCTCTGAACTTCACCCTGAGGTGAAGTTCACCCTGAGGACTCAGGCATGCCCTGAGGGCCTGCCTGAGTCCTCAGCCCCCAGACAGGGGTGTGTGTGTGTGTGTGTGTGTCTGCTCTGAACTTCAACCCGGGGCATGCCTAGGAATCCCCAGCCCCCAGGCAGGGTGGTGTGTTTCTGTCTGGGGCAGGCAAATCCAAGAGAGGCTGGCCTCTTCCAAGGGACACCTTCTTCCTGAGCCTACACACACTCATCCACCCAGCCCCCACAGGCACACAACCCCCTCCAGGGACCTACCCTGATTGACCCTGCTGGGTCCTACTCTCAGACCCTCCCAGAGGCAGCCCACTGATTTCTTCTTCCAACATCAGTCTCCTCCAGCCAAAACTTCCTGCAGAATGAAACCTGGACCTCTCCCTTCCTCAGCCACCAAGTCCTGGGGCCTTTCCTAACTCAAGGATGCCTCTCTCAGGGCGCCTGGGTGGCTCAGTCGTTAAGTGTCTGCCTTCGGCTCAGGTCGTGATCCCAGGGTCCTGGGATCGAGTCCCACATCGGGTTCCCTCCTCAGCGGAAGCCTGCCCTCCCTCTCCCACTCCCAGGGCTTGTGTTCCTGCTCTCGCTATCTCTGTCTCTGTCAAATAAATAAATAAAATCTTTCAAAAAAAAAAAAAAAAAAAAGGATGCCTCTCTCAACCACCCAATCCTGCTGGGGCCCCAGCTTCTCTCAGCTAGTCCATCCCTCCCCCAACAGCCAGGCTTTCTTGCCTCAGGAAGGCCACTCTCCTGTGCAACCACAGGCCACTGAGGCCATGGCTAGTCTCTCACAGACACACACACCCAACACCGCCACACGGAAGAGCCTCAAGGGCACAACTCTGGAGCCAGACTTTTGTCTTTTGTTTTGGTTTAAAATATTTTATTTTTAAGTTACCTCTACACCCAGCCTGGGGCTCGAACTCACAACCCTGAGATCAGGAGTCACACACTCCACCGACTGAGCCAGCCAGGCACCCCTGGAGCCAGACTTCTGGATTCAAACGCCAGCTCTCTGTCAATTTCTATCTTGGTGATGTGGGTTATTTACAAAGCTACACCGTGCCTCAGTTTCCCCATGTAAAATGGGGGTAATCACAAAATCGATCTCAGTGAACTGCCGTGAAGTGTAAGCAAATCCATGTGTGGAAGTGCTTTGGCTGTGCCTACAGTGGGGGTGGTACTCTGGGTGACTCTGATGTCTCTGCTTTGCTCTCCCCCACACCTTGCCCAGAAAACTACCCATCCCTCAGAATCTCGAGATATCCACCCTGACCTGGCCCTGTAGGATGGTCACTCATCCTCCGCGGTCTACAGCCTTCACTGACAGGCCTGCCACGAGCACATCTGAACACAGGAGCTGGCTGATGGGCACCTGCGGGCCTGAGCCCAGTGAACCAGGAAGCTGATGGCATCACAAATGGAGGGGCTGAACACACAGGTGCCCCTGCGGCTGATCCCCAAGCCTCACACATGGCGCTATTCCCTGCCCCAGTCAGAGCATGGATGGGAGGCAGGTCTCTCCCCCACACCTCCTCCTGAGCAGGAAGCAGTAAGAGTCTCTTGCCAGATGGGTCCCTGTGGTTCCCCGCAGGTTCTGTCTTCCTCTAAGTCACGGGCAACTGGCCCCTTGCATGGGCAGGTTCTGCACCCCCCACCCCCAAAAAGGTCAACAGAAGGCCCCTAAACAGGAAGGGCAGAGTCCTCACTCCACACCGGGCTCCAGAGCTGGGGCCTGTCAGTTTCCCCCTCCACAGCCCCCAGCTCCACCTGAGGGAAGGCTCTGTCTGGGGTGCCGGCCAAAGTCCAGGCCACTGTTCTCTAGTCAACACAGACTGAGCCATTTCTTAACGCTGAAATCAAAACAATACACAGCACCTAGGCCTGGTGGAGGTGGGGTCCAGCTTGGGGGCTGTCCCTAGCCAGGCCAGCCGACCTGTGGGCTCCGGAAAGGAACCTGGATGGGGCTGGGATAGGACAAGGGGGACAGAAGAGGCGCCCAGAGACCAAGATGAGGACTCAGGCACAGGCAGACACAGAGAAAGGGAGGTTTGGGAGGGGGGGGGGGCGGTTCAAGGCCAGGTGGGGACAGATACAGCCCACTGCCCCCCCAACCGTGGGGGGTGTCCTGGCACCGTGTGGAGGTGCCAGGAACCCCCAGTCGGGCGGGGAGCCAGCCTCCGGGCGGCAAAGCGCCACGTGAGAAGCCAGGGAGTCGCCCCTCCCCCGCCAGGCAGCTGGCAGCCAGGGGACCAGGCCTCAACTCTCCCGACGAAAATGCAAATCTGCAATTAGTGGGGAGCGTTAAACAAATCAGAGGAAACAAAACAGGCCGAAACGCCGGCGATTTTGCCGGCAAATCCGAGCCTCGGCTGTTTTCCAAACAAGCGCGAGGGAGGGGCGTGGATGGGGTGGGGGGGTGGGGAGTACCTGCCCGGGAGGGGTGGGCGCCCAGCGCGCCCCCCCCCCCCCCGCCCCGGGACGTCCGGGGCCCTGCGGGCCCAGCCCCGCCCGCCGGGTGCCCCGGGTCAGAGGTCGGCTGGAGGGTGGGGGGATGGGGAACCGCCCTGGCCGCGTCCCCGCCGGGCTCCCCGGAGCGCGCGGCACGGTCACCTGGGAACGGCCCCGCGTCCCGCGCGCGCCCTCGGAGGGAGCACGTGGGCGGCGCTCGAGCCTCACCCGGGACCCCAGGACGCGCCGGCGGGTCGGACAATGACGGCGGCGGGCGTCACGTGGGCAAGGGGAGCCGCCGCCGCGGAGCGCTCACCTGGTGTCTGGCTCAGCCCAGCGTACGACCGGCCATTACCTGCCTTAGTCCTCCTGGCCCGGTGGGTCAGTCCCAGGGCTCGGCCTCCTCCTTCGCTGCCGGCCCGTCCCCCACCACCTTGGCCCCAGCAGCAGCCTGCATGAATGACCCCGACCAGGGCGAAGGCTGAACTCTCCCAGCACAAGCACCTAGGGCAGGGGTGGGGCGTGGTGGGGCGGGGCGGGGCTCTAGGGACACATTGACGTCGTAGCCTGAGACTTGCGTCAGCGCCACCAGAGCCTCCCAACAGGACCCCCTCTCCACCAGCAAGGGCTCCTGGGGCCAGGTTCCTCCTACCTGCCTAGACTGCGGGCCGACTGTCCATCCCCAGCCTGGGGTGGGGGGAGTGCCCAGCCTCCTGAAGTCTGGACTCTGGGTCTCAGCCTGAAGTCACCCGTAGCTGGTGGCAGTGAGGAGGTCACAGGCTCAAGACCCAAGGCTAAGGAGCATGTGCCCAGGGAAACCCCAGCCCGTTCTGCTCCCATCCCCCTCCCACCAGCCTCCCACTCAGGCTTCTGATGCTTCTTCCCCCTG